TGGCTGTAACAATCGTCCGACAGACTCGCGACAAATGCTGTAGAATACAGGTGAAATGACTTGTTTGCAAGATATATATGATGCTATGATGAACATGATGTTGCACACATGACATCTCACAGTATCAAATTCTTTGACTAAAGCCCGTTTATGACACCTCTCCTACTCCATCCACTTATGGCCATCTGCAAGAGACAAGTTCAGATATATAGTTTAGAAGTGCATTAATTGTCCGTATCTCCAAGGATGTTTGCATTTTCAGAAATGACCAAAACTGCTAATCCCTGTTACCCTGCAAAGATCATTTCGCAGAAATTTCTCTTGCACAGAATGGATGCCTCGAACTGAAACAAGCCTGCAGTGCTAATTGGCCTAACCCCAAACGTGTTGTTCTTTTTATTAGTCCAAAGGTCGGCCCAACCCGCGTTTAACAGGCCATTGGTCTTGGTCCTGCCCTAATTGTTGCACTGCCTCGAGGATTATTTTTTTTAGATCACCAGAGTTACTACATGGAGGCCAGCCTCTACCTGCCAATCTGTCAGCAGTCCAGTCTCCAGGATTCACGTCCAAGTTCAGGCCACCGTTGTAATCTATAGCTTGTGTGGACAACTTTTTTTAGGGGATCTTGGGTGGACAACATAGGTGGCAATATTTTGTGCTAGTTGTTGTACTTTGATCAGTAGTTCTGAAGTTTGGGCAGTTGTTACAAAGCACAGCTCTGAAACAAGAGCGGATTTTCTACTCTCGGGTGTACTACACCCGCCTTTACAAAGCCCCGAAAACAATATCAAATGTGATCCAAAACATCTGAAATTTTGCAGCATGAAACACGATCAAATGTTTGACGTTGTTGCAAAATTTCATCCACAAATAACATTAGCTCTCTACAATAAAAATAGATAGAAAGATAAAGCACATTTTCAAAATTAAATAATAAAAAGGAAAAGAAAAAAACAAACAAACAAAAAATAAAAAACAGGGGCACCCTGCTCCATACATGGACCGGCCCAAATGCGCGCACGTTTGGCCGTCTTGTGTCGGCCAACGTGCAAAATAGGGGTGGATCCTATTCCGTGTGGGAGTCAAACACACAAAATAGGGGAGAGCGACCGAACTTGCACCCCCCCCCCCCGCCTGTTTAGTCTATTTCTGGTTTTTTCTGTCTGTCTTCTTTTATCTTTTTTCTGTTTCTTTGTTTTCCTTTTCCTTTTTATTTGCTATTTTTTATTTATCATTTTCTTTTTCTGAATATCACAATTTTTTAAAAAATCATAAACTTGCTAAAAAATCAAAAGTTTATTTCAAATCGAGATCAATTTTCAAAATTGTAAACAAAATTTAAAATTTATGAATATTTCTAAAATTTGGTAACAATTTTATAAATCAGTGAACCTTTTTTCAAGTCCATGAACATTTTCTGAAAGTTGTGCATATTTTTCAAACTCATGGACATTTTATGAAATACATGCACATTTTTCAAAATTCATGAGCATTTTTTAAGTCAGGAACATGTTTTTAAGTTCGTGACCATTTTCAAACTCGTGATTTTTTTGAAAACTTACTTAATATTTTTTGGACTTCACAAACATTTTCTGAATTCATGAGCATTTTTTTAAGTCTTGAACAGTATTTTAATTTTATGAAAGATTTCATAAATTTGCGGGTTTTTTAAATCCATGAACATTTTTGTAGAATTCATGAACATTTTTTTGTGAGACATGAACATTATTATTGAATTCATGATTTTTTTTGAAATCAAAAAGTTTTTCCAAAATTACAAACTTTTTTAAATGTATGAACATTTTGTTTTCCAAAAATGGAAAACAAAAAATCCAGAATATGCTAATATTTTAGTTCTTGAACATTAAGAAAACAGAACTATTTTGAAATCCTGAATTTTTTTTAAGTAAAGAAAAAGGGAGGAAACTTAAAACAAAAAATGTAATGAAAAAAGAAAGAGGCATTGGCCTCCGCAATGGGCAGGCCCAAAGTGTGTGGGTGGGTGCGCGTTTGCTTGTTTCCCCCTGCACAGGTCGCGGAATAGGAGCACTCCAAAATAGGAGATCCCGTCGAGTTCATCATTCAATGGTGTCATCCCCTAAGAACGGTGGACTTGGTGTATGTTAAAGCTTTTGATAAGGTCGAATCACAAGGTGATATGGGTCCTTTATTATTCGTCAAAAACTACTTAGGGAAAGAGAGGATTTTGAGATCCAATAAAACTCCCATGTTATTTGTTTTCTCGTTTATTTCTCTCTTTTATATCTTCGTCGTCTCTCAGAAAATACTAGTTAATATGCAAAAGGAAGGTAAGATCATTATACCAGACCATTTCTATGATCAGCTTTCGGATACGAAGGGAAAAACATTTCGATCAAAGTAGAATTTATGTTATGGTTGTACTTCTCTTAGTCATTGCTTGCTCGGCCAGAAACAAATAAGTAGTTTGAAAAGGAAACAATGGGTCAAATCCTGAGTATAGCGATGGTGAGAGAGACAGTAACCATTCAATAGTTTGATCAACCTCAATTCCTAGAGAATAACTAAGAGAAAAATCAATCTGACATCTTGAATTGCTCACTCAACTTTTTCTTAACAAAAGCAATGTACTTTTGATCATCTTCGACATATCATCAATATAGAGAAGAAGCAAGGTACAGCCGTGGCCAAATGTATGAGTGAAAGTGCAGGGTCATGCTCACGAGAAACCAACAGCTTGAATCACAGAGCTGAACTGCTCAAACCAAGCATGAGGTGGGGTAGTATATTAGTCCTTAACGGACACGTCCAATTGAAATATGGGTCTTTGATGTAAAATGCTAGGATCCGAATTATAATTTTCTCTCTCTATTGGGTTCTTGTGTAAAAACATTTCAATATGTTATATCTAATGCGTCATTATTGGTCCTTTGGGCCCCTTCCTTTATTAGAAAACAAGCCATCAATATTTTCAGTTCTACCATATTTCATTTTACCAAAGTACTTCCTCCGTTCACAAATAAGATGTTCGAATTTTTTCTAAATGAGATGTATATAGAAACATTTTAGTGGGTTTGTTCACCCATGTAAGACCGTATGTAATCTATATTAAAATATCCAAAGTATCTTATATTTGTGGACGTAGGGAATATGAAGTGTCTAGCGTAGAAATTGCAAAAAGTCCCTAAGTTTTTTTGGTAAGAACCAAGAAAAATAATTAATATTTTAGTTTTTTTAGCAAACAAACATAAATAGAGTTTGGCAAAAAGGAGGTGATCATCCCCTCTATGCCATTGGGAAGGCGGTCATCAAGCATTTGAGTATTTGCAAAAAAAACATTAGGGTTTTATATGCTAAGATTATTTTATCTTTATAAGGACATCTATATGGGGTGTGTTGTGTATCGGTCGGAGGATCTTTATAAAGGTCCATCCACTCGACAACAGTTAGTGTTGCAGAACCCTTTGCAACAAAGGATGTGTTGCAGTTTTTTCGCTTTCACCTTTTTGCAACATAGTTAATGTCGCGGAAGGATTTTTGCAACATGAATAATTTTGCAAAAACATTTGCGATGAAATAAGATGTTGAACCGTAGTTGTTGTCGTAGCAAAACAAGAGTCTTATTGCAAACCTTCTTTGCAGCAGATACCTTGTTGCAAAACCATATTGTGTGGATATGGATAGTCTGGGAACTGTAACTGGTCTGAGTTGCAACGTGCGCGGGCCACAGCCACGTGTCATCTGTGAGAGGCGCTGGATAAAACCCATGAGATCGGCTGGTGAAGCAAACCTTTCCCTATCTTTATTCCTTTTTAATAGCATAATGTATGTGCACATTTTTCTGGAAACTTTTAAGCCTATTGTCCAGATGTTGCTGCCTCAAAGCAGTTCTTGTAAATTGTTTCCTTGTGGTCTTGTTCTCTGTGTTGCTATGAGCCAAAAAAGCTGAGGAGTTATCACCGGCTTAGGAAATCATCAAAAGATGATGGTATTTTGCGGCGTTGCATTGTTCACAGTTGAAAAGAGAGCGAAAAGTATAATGAAAGATCATGTTGCTGTCACTCAAGAGTCTTGAGCGATCATAATAGGTCCTTTGCAAGATTTATAGTGAGATAATATTTTAAATTTGAAATGTATTAGAATGTGCATCAGTAAGTTATTTTGGATGGTATGAGTACATTGAATGCACACTATCATGGATTAGGTAGGAGGACAACATCTATCTCCGTGTTGAAATTGCAATTTATTTGCCCTCATTGCTATAACATATAACTTGAAGAATTGGTTTAGTAAAAATACTAAAATCAATATCATAATTTTGAGTTAAAACTGCAAACTTGCATTTATAATTTGTCGTTCTCACATTCGGGCAGCGATTTGTTTATTTGGGATGTTTCACGCCTTGTAAAAGTAACCCTTGTTAATTTATGTCTACTACTAGTCCCACATGTGGGTATAAATATATATATTTATTTGCATGGTCCCATATAACTCACCACTATAAATAAGTAGAAAAGATACACAAGCGCAACAGGTAAGGTAAAAAAATACCCGAATGCATGAATCAACAATGTAGTTTGATGATTAGAAGGACACTGGTATTCCCAGTCCATCAAAATTTAAGTCCTGGTGTTTGCATTTATTCTAAATTTATTTTAGAATTTTCAACAATGCACGGAGGAGACATTTATAAGCGCTTGCATCTGTACCTGTTAAAAAAACCGGAGACCAAAATAGAAGGAAAAAAAAGAGCCCTGGCCCCGGCCCCAAGAAACGAAAAAGAATCTCACAAGGAAAAACTATGGCTAGCGCCTAGCTGGAGTACTAAAAAAACAATAAACGTGAGGAGGCGGAGCGGGCTACGCAGCACGCGCGCAGCGTCGCCGCTTTCGAACTCCGGGCGCGGACGCAAGCACGCACGCACGCGTCCGTCCGCCATCCACACCGCACCGCCCCCGCGAGCGACCCAACCCTAGCCGCAATCCCCACCCGCCGTCCCACCCTCCCCTCCCCGCCCGCCGATGCAGACCGAGGCGCGGGTGGGCGGCGTGGCCCTCGACGGCCGCGGCGCCGTCTCGGCCTCCCCCCGCCAGGAGCAGCAGCAGCGCCACATCGGCACCGCCGCGCACCTCGCCGCCGGGGGCTTCGCCGGCGTCGTCAGCAAGACCTGCACCGCGCCCCTCGCCCGCCTCACCATCCTCTTCCAGGTACAATTCCTCCCGGCCCCCTCTTTTGGCTCCGGCCTTCTCGTGTGCACGGACGGATTGGGAGCTCGGAGGGGACAGGGGAGGGTAGTATCTTGCTTCCGCGCCTGCGAATTTGTGGCCCGAGGCGGGATTTTAGAGCATACGATGCACCGGCGAGGACTAATTAAAGCAATCCTTTTGATTTTGAGAGATTCTTTGTCCAGGACATGATTTGACCTTAAAAGGAATCCCGTTTAAATGTGCCCTGACCTCTGATAAGGAATTGGGAGCTAAAAAGGCATGGGGGTAGCAATTAATGTGGTTATATGTGAGCGTGAAGAGGCTTCTGGCTTCACATGTAGGCTCTTGAAAGGAATTGGATGCTGATAATCTCAACTTAGTTCCCTGAGTGCGATTTATAGATTCTTCCCTCCTTTTAACTGATTGGTCGAAACTGTACATCCCTGGTCGACAGTCATGAACTATTATTGTTGTTGTAATTTACAACACTGCACATATAGTGTCCAATCACTGTCCGAAGTTCAACCTTTGGCTGTGAATTTGTTGTACTTTATGCTGTTCATATCATATCTACAAAATCGCAATCTCTTGAAATGGTTCCTGAATGCGAACCCAGTGATATAATTTTTTGTGTCACACAAGACATGACCCATATGTTGATGATAAAGTTTGTTATACGAGCTTGTGACATACTGATCCGACAGGTGGCAGGTATGCATTCAGATGCTGCAGCTCTAAGGAAGTGTAGTATATGGCACGAGGCTTCGCGGATTGTTCGAGAAGAAGGATTTGGGGCATTTTGGAAAGGCAATCTTGTCACCATTGTACATCGATTACCTTATTCCGCCATGAGCTTCTATTCTTATGAACGATACAAAAAGGTCAGCACTAAGTTTCAGTATGTTAACTTGTAAGATTGTTCATGACTTTATGCTTTTTGTTATAGTTTGATGAGTTTTGAATAACGATTGCAGCTTCTCGGAATGGTGCCTGGCCTGGATGACCCAAATTATGTTAGTGTCGTACGTTTACTTGGTGGTGGTCTAGCGGGAGTGACAGCTGCATCTGTAACTTACCCGTTGGATGTTGTTCGAACTCGTTTGGCAACACAGGTATATTTTTCTTCTTTTTGTGAATAATACTTAACCAATCTAACTTCCAGTTACTCCCTCTGTTCCAAAATAGTATAAAGTTGAGTCATCTATTTTGGAACGGAGGGAGTAGAACTTAGGACATCCTTAGATTCAACTTTCACGCAATGCAGCTTTATAGACCAAAGGAACATGATTTAGCAAGCTAAGTAATTAATTTGTTTTGTGCTTTCTAATTTTCCAGAAGGACAGGCCTGGCGCAGTGGTGAAGTATTCCCCACTTGTGCCAAGAGGTCCTGGGTTCGACGCGGCCTCTCTGCATTGCACTGTGCAGGTGTAAGGCTTGCCTCGTATAATCCTTCCCCAGACCCCACCTGGTGTGGGAGCTTCTAGCACTGGGTCTGTCCTTTTTTGTCCTTCCTAATTTTCCGCAGAAACCACTAGGTATTACAAGGGCATCTTTCATACAATGTCTGCAATTTGTAGAGAAGAGAGTGGCAGAGTATTGTATAAAGGCCTTGGGCCTTATATTCAACTTAACCAATGATGTTTGTCTTCTTTTTCTGAATAACACTGAACCAATCAACCAATCTAACTTCCAGTTAGAACTTACAACATCCTTAGGTTCAACTTTCATGCAATGCAGCTTTACAGACCAACGGAACATCATTTGGTAAGCTAACTTTGCCCTGTCTAATTTTCTGCAGAAAACCACCAGGTATTACAAGGGCATCTTTCATACGTTGTCCACAATTTGTAGAGAAGAGAGTGGGAGAGGATTGTATAAAGGCCTTGGGGCCACGTTATTGGTAAGCCACATGCTTCTACTGAGAATGGTTTTTGAGTTGACTTGCCAGTAACTTTTACGAGTTACAGGGAGTTGGACCGGGTATAGCAATCAGCTTTTATGTATATGAATCCTTGAGGTCTCATTGGCAAATGGAAAGGTGAACATCATTATTTAGCTTTGCTGAATATTCCCTTGGCTTCCATTTCTATTATGTCGGATTCGATCTGATGGCTGTGGGCTTATATGCATCAGGCCGAATGATTCCAATGCCGTTGTGAGCTTGTTTTCTGGGAGTCTATCTGGTATTGCAGCGTCGACAGGTAAGTGGCCTTTGATACCTAATCACCTTAATTGTTCTATATCTTACATGACTCAAATCATGTATTTCCAATCTCTGTTGGTAAATGGTACATTCAATATTGCAGCTACATTTCCTCTTGATCTTGTAAAGCGACGTATGCAACTACATGGGGCGGCTGGGGCATCACAAATCGAAAAATCAAGCATAACTGGAACCATCCGCCAAATCCTTCAAAAGGAAGGTCCTCGTGGCTTCTACCGAGGCATAGTCCCGGAGTACCTGAAGGTTGTTCCTAGCGTTGGAATCGCCTTCATGACCTATGAGGTATTGAAAAGCATGCTCTCCAGCATTGATGGGGATGATGAGAACTAAGGTCGCAAAGCAGTTGCGTTGCCTTTTTTTTTGCCGCCCTAGGTTACTATCGTAAGACCAGTGTATGAGAGTGATTACAACATGCCTTGCCAGGCAGTTTTGTAGGTGTTGGTAGGATAAAGCAAGCTTTACCTGAGGTTATGTTGTACCATATAGGCTAATTAAAGAGCAAACAATTGAATCTGTTTTCCTGTGAGTGTTATGCTCTGATTCGTCGTGGAATGTAATGCCATTTGCAAGGAGAAAACTCCAAAGGTTTAATGGATTCTGTGTAATTTCAACTGCGGCATTATGTTTTCGTGGAGCAAATGTGGCTGCAGTTGTATAAAGAGGTAACATTTGACAGTCAACTTGCAGCTGTAACATGGTATATGTCTGTTCGTCAGTTCAGACTAAAATAGAAGTGCTACAAAGATAGAAAGAACATAATGATGGGGTATACATATTAATCTCATCAATCGTAACTCGACTGATTTGCCGAAACAGATTGTGTGCAGCTCAAGAATGCAACAACTACTGAAGATTTTGATTTTTCAGCATTAGGGGCTATTTTCAAAGATATTAAAGTACAACTACGTGTAGGTTTTGCTGATGTATCTGTGGTATCTTGTCCTAGGACTTGTAATGGAGTTGCACACATGTTAGCTGCGTATGGTGCTAACCTGGGAGCTAGTTTGTGTGAGATCTGGCTTGGACATGTTCCAAACTTTGTAGAAGATGCTGTTGCTGGCGATTGCCCAGCCCTGTTATGTAATGGAATGCATTGTGTTCCTTCAAAAAAAAAGTGCCATCACTTGTCCACCTTCAGGTGTTAGAGCAAACAGGATTCATACACAATGATGTACCTGCAGCGTCACGTTCCAGAACCTTCAGCCAAAACTCGACTGATTCACAGCCAAAATCATCCGTCAGTCGACCCTTGTTCCAGAACCTTCTACATGCAGCTAGAGTATGATTTTGTTTGCCATAATGTTTGCTGACCACCTTTTCTACAAATGCCGCTTCTCTATCCGCCTATGGGGATTAGTCAAGGACTGGCTGCAACTGGTGAGCATTGATACTTCCTCATGGCACCTCTCAGGCAACATCGAAGAGTGGTGGGTGGGCCTCTCCGACACATCTATCCCCAACAGGAAGGCGATGGCCTCGCTCATCATGCTAGTCGCCTGGACCATTTGGAACGAGAGGAATGCGCGAGTGTTCCGTCAGAAGAGTGCTCCGCCGACGGTTCTACTCGCCAACATTAAGAAGGAGGCCACACTTTGGGTATCAGCGGGTGCAAGCAAGTTGGGATACTTGATGACGCGAGAGTAGTTGGTCACCTTTTTTTCGGGTGTTGCGGCGCTGTCACTGTTGTAACACGAACATAAACTCTATTCCTCTTATTTAATGAATGAGGCAAATTTTTTGCCTCTCTTCAAAATAATGTTTGCTGACAAGACTCTAAAACGTTCAAAAGAGATATCAACCGCAGTCAGTACCCAGCCAACAAACACGGCAAATATCACTGTTCCAACCGGCAATCTGGAACCCATGGCTGCTGCTGCTTCTTCTTCCTCCTCCTCCTCCTCCTCGTCTTACCTTGAGTTATTGGGCAACCCTTCTATCCCTTGCTGCAATTCATCACATTTGTCCTCAGTCCACCGGGACTGCCCATGCCTGTCCTTCGATATACATTTAACTTGTCAAAGGGAGAGAGCCTCAACCAGAGGTCTAGAATTTCTAGAACGCACGATTGCATGCATTTGTTGCGTAGAAATTCATCATGTGATTTTTGCACAAAATTCAAATACTAATGGAGGTAGTGCACAGTTAATTAAGAAGAGGCATTTGTATCACCACTAGCAGTTCATTGGAAGCCCAATAGAAGTAATATCATGAATTCATAATGCAAGCGACATTCTATCTGCGGCTGCAGTAATGTGCTTTTTTTTTGGTTGAGAAACCTGCCACTACTTTTTTTTTTCTTTGAGCGTAACCTGCCACTACTAGCATAGGGCCTGGTCTGATTTGTTTTTTTGAGAACTGGGTCTGGTGTGATATGTATATGCCAGTTCGCTTCCAAGTTGGGCCGTCAGAGGAAGAACCACCCTGCACGCAAGTCGCGGCCCACTGGCCCATTTGTGCCACAGCGCGGTTCCTGCGGCTCGCGGGAGAGGGAGACAGCAGCGAACTCCAGATTAGTACCACCTCGCCTAGCGACAGAGCTTCATACCGGTTTATAAGCGCAGCTCTTTCATCCCTCTCGTCCCTTCGGGGACATCCGATAAAATTGGAACGATACAGAGAAGATTAGCATGGCCCCTGCGCAAGGATGACACGCACAAATCGAGAAATGGTCCAAATTTTTTCGAGATTTTGCGCGCCGGTTCCTGAGTTCCTTACAGATAAGCCCCTGAGAACTTTTTGGTTATGCGGTTGTGCCCTTTTCTTTGTATAAGCGGGACATTCCACTCTTTTCTTCTCCTTTCTGTCCAGGCCCCTGGCGTTGATTAGTTGCCCATTAAACCTTTTTTTTTTAATTTCGGTGCCTGACTTCCTGTTGGGTGATATTTCACATACGCCCCTGGTCTGTGTTGATTTCTTTTCCCTCAAAAAAGTCCTGCTATATTTGTTTTGCTTTCTCCCTATTTGTTCTTTTACTGATACTCCCCCTTGCCTTTTCTTAAACCAGTTCACCATAGATTTTCATCTTTCCCTATCTTCGGGTGGCTGTGCGGAGCACATTAATAATTACTAAAGGCCTGTTCGTCAATCCACTGCTCCCAGAAATACTAGAATCCAGGGAGCATCTCTTTCTCCACTCCGTATTTTCAACTGAAGCTCGGGCCGCTCCGGGAGCGGAGTCGTGCGGAGCGGCGAGACTCCGTACATGCCCTAAGAGCTGCACGTCCTATGACAGATGACACAAGTATCGCTATTCTTCATGAGCATTGCTATAGAGTCGACATTTTTTGACACGATACTGAGCCGGCGTTTCCATCAGACTGCTTGTAAGGTTGATGCTAGGCTATCTCACGATGCAGAGTTTGTGTCGGCTGCACATCAGGCATATAATGCCATGTGCGTATCAATTTCGATTCATCATCTGCATTACTGTTGCACCACTGCCACAACTCTCCTCTGGCCAACCCAATGAGTACTTGTGAGTTCCCTGTTATCATGATCGCTCATCCTTTTTTGTTTTTGTTTTTTGCGAGTGGATCCTGACCACATATCTATGCGCTGGCAGGTTCTACATCGATCACAACCCAATTTTGCGACGCAGTCACTCGTATAATTTCCGACGAACGCTTGCGTATATGAACAAAAATATTGTCTTGTTATACTTTGGCAAGATGCGCACGTACAAAATCACAAGCGGACCACTTGATTTTTTTCTATTAACCATGTATTAGAAATCTTATTAATTCTTACACTAGTCAGTTTTCATTAAACCGTGCCTAATTTTAACATCTCGTTTGTCCACAAGGTAGTGTAAATCAAGAATTTGGGTTGACCCGAAATACCCATCGGGCAAATCAGGCCACTGACTATTCTTTGTATGGGTCGACCAGTGGCCTCTTAAATTGGCCACGGGGGCCGAGTCCAAGGCTAGGTCTGGGTCGGCCGTTCCCATCCTGAGCGTCAAGTCACATATGCTCAAACGGCAAGGAAAAAACCCCGGTTGTAATGGAAAAACTAGCATTACCACTTCAATACCTTGACCACAACACACATGGCAATGTACACATATGCAACACAGCAAGGTATGCTTGGCTTGCAAGCATCAAGCTCCTCAACGACCATCAAAACCCAAAATCTCTTTCCTTGTTTTCCTGGATGTATATATAGTTATCATATACACCTACTTTTGTACAAGTCGGCACATGCAAATGCCAAAATTAG